TTTAATAAAAATTATTTATTTATTTATTCTTTTTTGTACACCACAATACAGAAACATCAATATAGTTAAAACTAAATAAAGTATGTACAATAGGCGGTCTTATCACTAAAAGTGATTTCTTCCAGACAACCTTTACGTAGAGGAATGATGCAAACAAAAATTACAAATAGAGAGGGGCATACAAAATAATAATAAAAAAAACAATAATACATACAAATAAAAGTGAAAGTTTTATATAAAATATCATATAATAGATTAAATGAAAAGAGTAAGAGAAAGGTAAAGTAATTTATTTAATAGCGTTCTAAATAATACGAAGAGATTTAGCACGACGAATATGGAGAGGTAAGGAGTTCCACAATCGCACAGCGGTTACGGTGAAGGATTTCTTGAAGAAGGAAGAAGAGTGCAAAGGTGTAGAGAGGGAAAGATTGACGGAGGATCGAACGAACCGATTATAGGTAAGAGAAAGATACTGGAAACGGTTTTTTAAATAAAGAGGGAGAGATTGTGAGTATTCCTGCGAAGGCGGATCGGGAGCCATTAAAAATCAAAAAATCTTCATGATTTCTTATTTCTAAATGATTAAGCAGCAAATTACTAAGTATTAAATAAAATTTTATTTTCAAAATAGCCAAATTCATGTTACTCGATGTGAATTTGAATTTATTTTGGTTAGATCGATTTCGAAATCGATACACAACGTGCGACACGGCTACATCTCTAAGAAAGTTTCAAAAAGGAAAGTCAGCTACGTCCTTGTCGTCCAGTCCTGACAGTGACGTCATCACGATGAAGAGTAATGCTGTGGTTTACTCACTGACCTCTATATATATACAAGTACGCTGGACTGGCTATACACCGTGACATGATGAAGCGATTTGATTTCCGCCATTTTGGCGCTGACAGCAGAAGTGCACGTCCACGGAACTAATACTAGGGATAAGACATTCCCATCTCTGGGCTGGGGCTCCCCAGTACCAGCTCCTTCCACTTGACCACATCCAGCGCAGAGCGGCTCGAATCGTCGACGACCGAGTGCTTTCCGATTGGCTCGATTCACTGGCACTGCGAAGAGATGTTGCATCTCTTTGCATTCTCTTTCGCATATACCATGGAGAGTGCTCTGAGGAATTGTTCGGATTAATCCCAGCCGCCAAATTTCGTGATCGCACTACGCGGCAAACGTACCGATACCATCCACACCATCTGGATGCTTGGCGGTCCACCACAGTACGTTTCACGAGGAGTTTTCTTCCACGTACACCCTCTCTGTGGAATAGTTTACCACCAGCGATTTTTCCGGACCGATACGACCTGGGGACCTTCAAGAAAAGAGCGTACTCCTTTCTAAAGGGCCGGCAACGCACCTGCAATTCCCCTGGTGTTGCGGTTGACCATGGGCGGCGGTAGTCACTTAACATCAGGTGAGCCGCATGCTCGTTTGCCCCCTCTTCTACAAAAAAAAAAGACCGTGTACCAAATTATATCGATAAAAATTCTGTACCTTACCTATACCTAAATAAATAGAATGGACTCTATGGATAGATGGACACTACCCGTAACGTCCATTCTATTTATGTATCATATTAATATAATGCCATTATCATTCATCAGCATTGAAACCCTTCACAAATCCACTGCTGAACATAGGCCTCCCCCAAGGAATGCCACAAAGAACGGTCCTGAGCTACCTGCATTCATTAACTTTCTGCATGTCTTACCAGGTTTTTACTCCATCTAGTGGGGGAACGTCCTACACTTCACCTGCCAGTCCAAGCTGCCACTCGAGAACCTTTTTTCCCCATTGGTATTCGGTTCTTCGAGCTATATGGCCGGTCAATTGCCACTTCAGCTTACTAATCCATTGGGCGATGTCGGTCACTTTGGTTCTGCTGCAGATATCCTCATTCCTAAGTTTGAACCCTTGAGCATAGTCCTCTTCATAGCTCGTTGAGCGACTTCGAGCTTCCTCATACGGCCAGCAGCGAAAGACCTCGTCTCAGATCCATATATCATCACTGGCAACACGCATTGGTTGTATAATCTAGTTTTGAGGTATTCCTGACGAGAAGATGTGCTGTAATCTCCCGAACACTGCCCAGCGAAGTTGAATCCGTCGATTGACCTATCGGTTGAAGTTGAACTTACCTAGTCGGACTATTTGTCCCAATAAAAATACTCATCAACAACTTCAGCTAAGTGCTCCCAAAAACCACCGGAATAGGAGTGACATGGACATTACACATGACTTTTGTTTTGTCCATGTTCATCTTAAGACCTATCCGTTGGGAGACACTATTGAGGTCATTGAACATAGTGCATAGGTCCTCCAGCGATTATGCCATAAGGACTATATTGTCGGCAAATCGAAGGTGAGTGACGTACATTTCCAGTCCAGTAGGTTGAAAACGTTTTCCAACGCAGGTAAAGTATTTCGGGGATATTACGTTACCCTGCCTTACACATCTCTACAGTTGGATTAGTTCTGTACTCTGGTTCTGTACTCGGATAGCCATCATAGCCCTTAACCATTCAACTAAAAAATTATTTAGATTAAACTAAGTACACAAAACAAAAATAAAAACATAATTTCATTTAGTTTTAGTATTATAAAAAACAAATCAGCTGCTATAATAAAGCCTATTCTAATCAACTACAGGTCTGTCTATAGACAGTAAAATATTTTCACTATATAAAAATTTATATTTGTTCGTACTTTCTCTACGATGCCATACCGTTCATCAGATTGCGGTAAAACATAGTCAACTTATTGGTTGCACTTGTGCGATGGTTATACGCATGGTACAATTAACTGACACTGGGTGGCGTGCGTATTATACTGACTTATATATCATTATATTTCAATGATTGTATTATCATTCCTAATTATACAATATAACTGTTCCACATTTTTAACGATATTTCCACAATTACTTCTTCTGCGGCAGCAATGCGCAAGCTAGTAAGATAATACAAAAAAATATAAACTTTGAATTACATAATTATCAGTTATTTACAACGTCATTTTCCAAATTAAAATTACAATATTAAAAAAAATAACTGAAATTATCAATTACCGAAACCCATATGTGAATGGAGGCTGGGAAAAACGAGCACTTGGAAGCATCAAGTGGTGCAGCCTTACCAAAAACGTGAAAGACAGTCGAGTGGCGCATCGCCAATCGCCATACCAACACTCCTCTTCCATTACGACTCCACCTCGACTACAGCGGTACAGGGAGAGGAATCTCCTCTAGCTGCAGCCTACTAACACACATCCAACGTGGCTCGACATCATCAGGCGACCTTTCGACACTTGGCAATGGCCCTTGAGTTTGGTGGAAAATGAGGAAATAAGAAATAAAAAAACATTCGAAACAATAATCTAATACTTGGTAGTTGGTAGTGCTTGGTACTGTTACTACCAGAAAATATTGTCGGTATACTGCACTTTTTCAAAGTGGTGCAGTTCTCATGTCTAATGAAACAGTCGTCTGTGAAATTTTTGGAACAAATATGATCATTTTGTTTCGGACGCCAATTCACAATATTTATGATTTTAAGCCATAATTTTAATCTAGGTTCAGTTGGAAACCTGTTAATAAACATTTGATAATCATCTGTTGTTGGTGACTTTGTTTGTTAACAGATATGGGTAGGAAAGAACATCGATAAGTATTGTAGACAAGGAACTCGACAACCCTATTGAATTTTATTGTTTATCAAAACTTAGTAATATACAGCCAAACATGTTGGTATATATGATATTAAGATTAGTAACAAATTTCTAAGTAGGTACTTATATTATCAAATAGTTTTAATTTGTTTAATATTTGCTGCAAATTCACTTCCTTGTGAAATGTTATACCAATTCCCTTTTGGTAACAAGTTTTACAGATTATGCACCCTCTCATTATTAATAAAAATAATTCTTATTATGTAACTAATATTATACACAATGAAAGAACATAAAATACTTTCGTTTTTTAGTTTAAAAGTTGAAAATACATACTTATTAAATATGACAATATGAACAAGACAACATACTTTGGCATATTATGTCAACTTTATTTTTCAAGAATCCTTTAAGGCTGCTGGACACGGGTAGAGTAAACAGTAGAGTGAACTAGCATACTACTCTACCGGTTCTCAGTACTCTACCAGTTTTAGTAGAGTAACTGTCTACATGTAAATTTTCATTTTGTTAGTAGAGTAAAGCTTTTAAGTCACTCGGTAAGAAACGCTAGAAAAATGAACGTCGATTCGACTCATCGAGAAATAGTAAGGAACGCTCTAATAAACTTAACAGATTTATTATTGAAGGAGGTAACGAAGGCTCCTGAAGAAGAGAAAAATAGGAAAAAGAGAATATGGACAAGAGGTTGGATATTGCGAAGGGATGAGCGAGGGGCTTCATCACTACTTTTGAAAGAGTTAGCAGCAGAGGACGTAAAAGAATATAGACTAACTATGAGGATGCCGCCAGAAATGTTTGAGGATTTGCTCAAAAAGTTCGGTCCGAAAATTTAAGAAACAAGATACTACAATGACGGTGGCATTAACACCACGAATAAAATTAGAAATAACTTTAAATTTCCTAGCTACAGGAGATAGCTACCGGTCATTGCAGAATCATTACAGAGTGTCTAAATGCAGTATTTCGAAATTCATTCCTGAAGTTTGTGACGCCATTTACGAAAGCCTGTATGAGTATATCAAGGTAAGTTTTTTTTATCAGCTGGAGTCAATATTATTGGTGTGCTTCACCACATCGACTCACATACCCACAAATGGCAAGCAGGCAATCTATGCAGATATTTAGTCGATAAATGGTTGAAATTAGATGCTTAGTAAAAACATATCTATTTCTATATGTTTCGCTGTGGTGACGCACAATTAGTGTAAGCAATTTAATAATAAAAGACAAATTCGTAAATGTAACTTTATAATAAGAAAAAAAAATCAGGGAAAAACACGTATCGGTATTTGAACTTAGACTAAATATTTTTAGAATTCCAAGCTTGGGATAAGATTGATTGAGTTGCTTCTTGGGTTTCTTGATCATCAACTTCACTTTGTAAGTAAAATTGTGAAACATCTTGAGTTTCAACATTGCCATCAGTTTGCAAGATTGATTGAGAAGGATCTTGAGTTTCTTGTATATAAACTACATCATTCTGCAAGACTAACTGAGAAGCATCTTGGGTTTCCGGTACGTAAACATTATGCTGTTCGCGTTGCGGTCGGGGAGTCATAACTGAGGGTGTACTTGCGTTAGATGTGTTTGAGGTCGAAGGCGGTATTAAAAACCGGACCAAAATTGCTTGTATTTCACTTTGTGCCAGTAAAGATTGTTCGAATGACATTTTGTCCAACATTAAAGCGACATATGAGCCAAACGCACTGTTGGCGCTTTGAGCTCCAACGGGAGTTGTAATTATGTCGTTACTACTGCGTAAACTATCGTGCACTTTGCGTACTTCATTAACAGCCGAAGCAAGAATCTGTAAATTCTTATTTTTGGATGTCTTTCCTTTTCCCTTGCCTTTTAATGTTGGAGCTATCTGAATTGGCGCTGACTGTGAATCTTCAATATTTTGTGCAGTACTGGTTGTCGGCTCTTGTGAGTCATTTATTGAGACTGACGATGGCTGTGGATCATGTGCATTTGTTGAGACTTCAGTTTCGTTTTCTAATATTGCATTCTGTAATAAAAGAATATAATTAGGTTATTTTCTTTTGATTGAGGTACCAGCTTCAGTAGTGGATTTGAAACTCATTGGAACTTTCCAAAATGTTGTGGTGCCATCGACAGAAAACATATTTTGATACTAGCCCCTCCAAATTGTGGTAGCGAATATTTCAACTACAAGGGCTCGAATAGTATTGTGTTAATGGCAGTTGTCGACTTTAACTACAAGTTTCTGTACATTAATGTTGGTGCCGAAGGATCACAATCAGATGGTGGTATTTTTAAAAATTGCCCGATTTCAGATGAATTAGAAAGAGGACTTTTGCCTGAAGGATTATTCCTACTTGATGATGATGCTTTTCTATTAAAACCATATAAAACTTACAGAGGTCCTTTGAAAATACCTGAAAAAAGTTCGAGTTTCAACTTCAAGAAGTTTAGTTCTTCGGTGCGAGACTAGATAGCGCTAGTGCCGTCGACTTCGGCGCGTAACACTGCCCCCTCCTAAGACATGCTCGTCCCGAGCGTTATCGGCCCCATAATATCGCGCCAGGCCATCCATATGGACGATCTTAGGAGTCCCTCTTGCGCCTTTCTGTAACGGCTCCGCAATGTCAAGGGCTGTCCTATCCCATGGTGCACCAACATTGTACAACTTCGGTGCTCCTCTACTACGTGTCTGAGGTCCCCGCACGGCCGCACAACTTGTACATGTACGACACCAAGCCTCGACATCGTCACGATAATGGACCCAGTAAAACTGTTCTCGGACCTTCAGCAGAGTTCGTTTAACCCCCAGATGGACTCTTGAACGACCATTATGGCATAGTTGTAGAACATTCGGCACTTTAGCCTTAGGGACAACCATTTGCAAACGACAGCTGTCTCCTCGACCACTGTCCCATTTACGGCACAGGACTCCATCCTGAATCAGCAAGCCGTCCCACTGGGCCCAATAGCCTCTAGTGGTCGAACTCATCGCTGAGACGTCGCTCCACTTAGGCTTGGTAGCACGGGTCTTCATCCATTCCAGAATCGGCGTGATGTCCGGATCTTCCTGCTGTGCATGTCGTAGGCTGTCCTTCCACTCGTTGCTGAGGTGGTCTGTCCTGAGCATCCTCACGGATACCACTTCCTTACTCTTTTACTTAGTACAATGTTTCCAATCTTCACGACAAGATCTTCTTGACAATGCATCTGCGTTGACATGAGATTTCCCGCTGCGATGTCTGATAGTAAAGTCGTATCCCGGCTGCTGCTGGGCGGCGATGTTAGCCGCACTTCCCTTCTGAGATCGTTCACCTTCCCTTTCTAGGGTTCGCTTAGGGCAGCTGGATCGAAGATGGCCCCATTCCCCACAGCCATATCACCTAGGGCTGTATCCTTTATTGTGGTCGCGAACCGTAACTGCCGCAACCTCCCTAGCGCGAGGGGAACGACGATCCTGCCACCGCCAGGCGGTGTCGTTAGCTGCACTACCCTCTCGAGATCGATCAACTCTCCTTTCTACAGTTCGCTTAGGGCAGCTGGATCGAAGATGGCCCCTTTCCCCACAGCCATAGCACCTAGGGCTGTATCCTTTGTTGCGGTCGCGAACTGTAGCTGCTGTAATCTCCCTGACGTGATGGGAACGATGATCCTGCCGCACGGCTTCCACCTCCAGTGCATGGACCAAGGCGTCTTTAAGCGTCTCGTGGTGCCCGAGCCTCACAGCAGCTCTGACTTCCAGGTCGCGAATGCCGTCGATGAATGTCTGCACCAGGTTCCCTTCAATTAGCGCAGGTACAGACTGGTATGCTTTTCGCACCAGCTTCTCCACCTCTAGAGCCCACTGCTGCAGGTTTTCGTTGCTGCGCTGCGCGCAATCTTTAAGCTGCGCACGAAAGACGTGTTCCAGGTGAGCGTCGCCATATCTCGCCTCCAATACCTCAAGGAGTTGCTCATAAGTCACTTCCTCACCGAGAGCTTCCAGAACTGTTAAGGCCTGGTCGCGCAGGCCTAGTGTGAGAGCAGTCATGGCTTGACTTTTATTCCAGCCGTTCGCCTTCATAACAGCCTCGAACTGGATTTTGTAGGCTGACCAGGAAGAGGTACCGTCGAACGGTGGCACCTTGAACCCACGTAGCGAAGGTGTTGTAGCTACTACGGAAACTGTAGCTCCATCTCCAAGTTTGAGTTCGTCCAGTGATTTCTTCATGTCAGCCATTACGTTGTCAACCCGATTGTCAACCCCCTTGGTCGATTCGGGTTTCAGCTTCCGACAATCGGTTGTCATGTTAAGCAACCTTATCCTTCACCTCCCGTATCTCTTTTCCGAAGGTAGCGTGAAGGTCCTTCATGAGGAGCATCTGCTCTTCCAACCGACGGGCCTGTTCCTCTTGTCGGCGGGCTTGTTCTTCCTGTCCGCCCCGCAGCTATTCTTCCAACCGACGGACCTGCTCCTCCTGTCGGCGGGCCTGTTCCTGCAACATCACCATCGGAGCACCTAAGTCGGGTGCTGCGGATATAGGAGCTACTGACGGGCCTGCAGCCGGTGGCTGGCCCTCCGACGTCTGCGGCGTTGCACCACCAAATCTTCTTTGGTCTCTCTCCTGCTGGCGTTGACTTCGGGTACGGACACCCTACGTTTCCTCCTTAGGTAAAATCGGTATGATTTTATCCCACTTCTGACACCAATTGTTACGAACTTGAGGTTCGTGACAATAAAAATTGCCGATAGAATTACCTAAATTAACACTTTAATTTTCTTTACACAAATTAAAACTTAAAACACTAATAATTAAGCACACTAATTCACTTTATTCCGCTCCGAAGCTTCGCTTGTCTCGCCAAATTCAATACTTCCTCGATCGCACCTTGCAGCGCCTATAAATACACATTAGTACCGAAATATCCAGAACATTCCAGTAAATACGCGCACCAATCGACAAAGTGCCGAAAGTTCGAGTTTCAACTTCAAGAAGTTTAGTTCTTCGGTGCGAGACTAGATGGCGCTAGTGCCGTCGACTTCGGCGCGTAACAGTATTATATACTATTGAGTTTATTACTAGGATATAAGTGTAAAAACTTGACTTTCCTATTTGAATCTCTTAATAATAATCTTAAGTTTACACAATATATAAACACACAAAAAATACTCGAACGCTTGATCATACCAATATACACACTTCCTTACACTTTACTAATTACTACTTGCAATTCAGTTTACTGCTTTAACACTTACCCTCAGACTTACTTTTTAAAAATAACTACCTATAAAACCGCCTGTGTACCGTCAAAATATTTACTAGGACACATTTTTATAAAATACTTTTGGAAAACCATAAACAATCATCACCAGAAGCCATCCAAATTCAGTGTTATTAGTTCTATTTGCTTTTATGATGGATAGTTCCTTAGCTTTGTTGAAAGAAATAGACGATACCGAAATTGCAAATTCTTTATCTTGCGATATTGAAGATTTGCATAAATACATATGTTTGAATAAAAAAGATTTGACAGTTGTTACGCAGAACATCAGAAGTGTTTATAAAAACTTAGACGACTTGCAATTAACATTATCTAGCCTTACCTTTGAAGTAGATCTGCTAATTCTAACAGAATGCTGGCTTGATAGTAATAAGCACCTGCCACAAATTGCAAATTACACATCATTTGTTACTATGCAACATCTTAACCAAAATGACGGAGTGACAGTTTTCTATAAAAATAACCTTAAACCTAAAATAAAAGAAATAAAATTAGAGCATGCCTCTTTTTACAAATAGAAATCTTTAATCATGTAATATTAGGTATTTACAGATCACCTTCACATACAAATACTTAGAAATTTATTGAATCTTTGCAACAACATCTCAACACGATTAAAAACAATCAAAATATAATTATTACTGGAGATATCAACATAAATCTTATTCCAAATCCCAACGAACTAAATAGCGAGCAAAGAAATAGACTTAACTATCTAGAGGTTCTTTCCACTTTTGGCTTATTACCGGGACATACAATTGCTACAAGGGTTAGTTGTCTGGATTATGTTATACTTAAATTAAATAGAAAAAAGACACAAGCAAATATAGCGGTAATAAATACATCTATCACTGATCACTATATGGTGTTCTTTAGTTTAACTAAAACTAAAGAGATAAAAACTTCTCCACGTACAAAAACGTATATTGATTTTGATAAGGCGGTTACTAGCCTTACTAATAAAAATTTATCTACTTTACTAATATGTGATGATCCTAATAAAATTATAGAAATATTAATAAACAAAATTGCAGAATCTTTACATAAAAACACAAATACTATCAGTATTCCAAAAAATAGACGTGCCATAAAATGCATATAATGTGCAATAAAATGCAAAAACGACTTAAAAACAACCCTTTTGATGAAATTTTGAGAATAACATATAAAAGATACCGCAATTACTGTAACAGCTGTATTAAAAAGTTAAAACGTGCATATGAAAGAATATTATTATTAGACAAAAATCCTAAAGTATTATGAAATAATATAAAAAATATTACACACACTAAGGAAAACAAAACGACTAATATTGGATTATTAGACATAGAACCAAGCCCTATTCAATCTGTTAATGCAGTCAATAATTTTTTCGCAAATGTTGGGTGTAAACTTGCCGAAGACATTCAAAAGAATACTGCACACGATCACATTAGACATATTTCAGCACACATAATTAATAACCAAATCTCATCTTTCGCCATCTTAGATACTAATTCTGACGAAGTTCGAAATATAATAATGAACTTAAAATCTGATAGCGCTCCGGGCTGTGATAACATACCCACAAAATTTTTAAAATTGGCAAGTTCTTTACTAGTTCCGATAGTTTGTCACTTGGCTAACCTCTGTTTTTCTAAAGATATATTTCCAACTTTCCTTAAACGTTCCATAGTCACACCTATATACAAGAATGGAAACAGAGAAGACATAAATAATTATAGGCCTATTTCCGTCTTACCAGCTTTATCCAACATCCTAGAAAAAATTAATTAATAACAGATTAATACAATATTTAGAGAAATATAATATTCTATCGCAGACACAGTATGGTTTTAGAAGAGGGAAAAACACACAAAACGCTGTCATAGATCTAACTACATATATAGTCGAGCATCTAGACCAAAATAAAAAATGTCTTACGGTATTTTTAGACTTAAAAAAGGCATTTGACACCGTCTCTGTTCCCATACTTTTTTGGAAGTTGGAAAGGATTGGTATAAGAGAAGCCCAACTAGATTTAATGAGAGATTACTTAAGGGGAAATATAACCTCAAATGGCTTAGCAAGATCCTCCGTTATGCCGAAAGTATTGCAGCATTAATTTTGAAATAAATATATGGTAAAGTTGAGGATTAATGTTAAGGTTTATGTTAGACGAAAACACGATTCCGTAAAATTTTCTCGATAGAAAAAAATCCAAAGTTACCTCCAAACTGAACAATAAACCGCTGTTATTCATAAAATACTTTAAATAAGATCATGAAACTTTGCATACTAACTGAACTAACCATAAAGCAGTGCTTATGTTATTTACTTTTTTTAAAATATAATTATTTTCACTGTAAAAAAGAAATTACCTAAACTATCGGCGCGTAAGCTTGGTTCCTGCGGAGCGACAGGACTTATATAACTTTGGATTTTTTTTCTATCGAGAAAATTTTACGGAATCGTGTTTTCGTCTAACATAAACCTTAACATTAATCCTCAACTTTACCATATATTTATTTCAAAATTAATGCTGCAATACTTTCGGCATAACTGAGGATCTTGCTAAGCCATTTGAGGTTATATTTCCCCTTAAGTAACAGAATGCAAAGTACTAGAATAGGCAATCACATTAGTAATGATCTCCCAATAAGTTTTGGGGTGCCGCAAGGCAGTGTTTTTGGCCCTACCTTGTTTCTCATTTATATTAATGATCTCGGTAAATTGAAACTTGATAATGGTAAAATTTATTCGTATTCGTGGGATGAAGTATATGAAAAAGATAAATTTGGGCTGTCCAAAATTGCGAATTGGCTCACAATGAACTTGCTTACCCTTAACGCGTTTAAAACAAAATATATATGCTTTTCCATCAACAAACGTACACAACCTAAAACACGCAATCTCAAAATACACAACTGTGATTTGCGCAACAATTGCACGTGTCCTACTATAGAAAAATTTACTAGTACTAGATAATTAGGGGTTATAATTGACCAAACACTCACATGGTACTCACATATAGAAGCAACTAATAAGAGGTTACGAAAACTTACTTAGATGTTTAAAACCCTCAGGCATGTCGCAACTCGTAAACTTCTAAATCAAATATATGCTGCACTAGCCCAATCGATTTTGACATATTGTATACCAGTTTGGGGTGACGCTCCGGAAACAAAACTCTTACAGTTAGAACGTGGTCAACGTTCATTAATAAGGGTAATGTACAACAAACCATATAGATTTCCTACAGAAGAACTTTACTCAGTTAGCGGTTTATTGAGTGTTAGAAAGTTATACATTTTAAATTTATTGCTAACAATACACAAAACAACTTTTTGCAACTGCAAAAGTAGTAATAGACGAGGAAAAGTTTTTGAATTAACTCTAGTTAAAACAAATTTTGCTAGTCACCAATTTAAAAGACAGACTGGTTATTTATACAACGTAGTCAACAAAAAACAACATCTATGCACTGAATTCTAATGAGCTCAAAAAGATAGTCACAGAATGGCTTCTTAAACTTAATTATGATGAGGTCGAGGCATTATTAAAAGTTAGTAAATAAACTTTACATACACATACAAACACACACACACACACACACACACACACACACACACACATACACACACACATACACACGCACACACACGCACGCACGCACACACGCACACACACACGCACGCACGCACGCACACACACACACACACACACACACACATACACACACGCACGCACGCACGCACACACACACAAACACACACTTAAACCCTTATTAATTAAATATAAGCTTAGTTTCTTGTATTTTTCTTATTTCTATATTTTTTTTTGTGTTTAGTAAATGTAATTAAAGTTAGTTAAATAATAAACAAAAAATGTAATTCTAGCTATAGAAGAGCGAGACATCCTGCCACAAGTATATATTTACATAAAAGGATGTCTCACTTACTCCCTTATCTATGTAATGTGTGATATATTTTTAAAGAAATAAATAATTATTAATTTAAATTTTTTAATAGCTTAAGTTACATGTATTATTATTGTTGCATGAATAAGTCAACTAGCGCCATCTAGTGTCAGGAACGAGAGCGAGGGGAGCTTTGCAGTAAATGACATCACAAATCTTTCGACCGACAGCGCCACCCGAAGAACTAAGTTTCTGGAAAATCTACACTCGAATACTCGTTGCCTGGCGCGCATTTACTTGAATGTTCGGGACGCTTCTTTGCTAATTATATAAATAGGCGCTGCAAGATGCGATCGGGGCAGAGTTGAACTCGGCGACACAAGCGAAGCTTCGGAGCGGAATTAAGTGAATTAGTGTGTTTAATTATTAGTGTTTTTAGTTTTAATTTGTGTAAAGTAAATTAAAGTGTTAATTTAGGTAATTTTATCGGCAATTTTTATTGTCACGAACCTCAAGCTCGTAACAATTGGTGTCAGAAGTAGGATAAAATCATGCCGATTTTACCTAAGGACGAGATGGAGGGTGTCCGTACCCGAAGTCAACGCCAGCAGGAGACGGACCAGAGGAGATTTGGTGGTGCAACGCCGCAGACGTCGGAGGGCCAAATGCCAGCCACGGAGGCTGCGGGCCCGTCAGTAGCTCCTACATCTGCAGCACCTGACTTAGGTGCTCTGATGGCGATGCTACAGGAACAGGCTCACCGACAGGAGGAACAGGCTCGCCGTCAGGAGGAACAGGCTCGCCGACAGGAGGAACAGGCTCGCCGACAGGAGGAAATGGTCCGTCGGTTGGAAGAGCAGCTACGGGGCGGCCAGGGAGAACAGATGCTTCTCATGAAGGACCTTCACGCTACCTTCGGGAAAGAGATAAGGGAGGTGAAGGATAAGGTTGCTCAACATGATAACCGCCTGTCGGAAGCTGAGACCCAAATCAACCAAGTTAAGAAAACACTGGATGAACTCAAACTTGGGGATGGAACTACAGCTCCCGTAGTAGCTACTGCACCTTCGCTACGTGGGTTCAAGGTGCCACCATTCGACGGGACTTCTTCCTGGTCAGCCTACAAAATCCAGTTCGAGGCTATTATGAAGGCGAACGGCTGGAATAAAAGTCAGGCCATGACTGCT